CGCTTTCTTTCAGACGGAATAATTGGAAGGCAGAGTTTGTAATCACCCGGTAGTTGATTATATTTCAAGCATTCGCGCTGTAGATGAAATTACGACGAAAGGGCGTGCGCTAAGGTGAGGGCGCACTAGCACTAAAGGGGTGTCGTTGAACCAGCAGCCGCGCGAGAAAATCGCGTGCGACTAGCCGCGAATGACAAGCCGGTTTTAACAGTCCGATGAGTGACCGCTACCGTAATCCACGTTGGCACTGGAGCGCGCAGCTACACTACTGCTGTGTACCCACACGTTTCAGCACCAACGTGAGAGGGTATAATGCCTCGCTGGTGAGTGCACAATACCCCCTCCACCACAGCCGCCCTTGGGCGACTATCCAAAAATACACGCAGCACTCGCCTCGCCGCTTGCGCGGCGAGGCAAGCGCTGCGCGCGCAGGGCAAGGGAGGTTAGCCCCGGGGTGCCGCCAAACCCTAATCTCACAAATGTGGGTGCCCGCGCGCCGTGACCTATGGATACACACCTGTATTGAGATACATAGAAGGTATTTATGCCCAGAACAACAGAAAACCAAGGATCACTCACAATGTTCATTTGGTCTCTGTATGTGACACGTTGGAAGATCAGCGACGTCTCTCCACTTCCGCATACCGCACCACTGCGCTCGAATTCAATACACGGATACTTCTGATGCCTGAATACCGAAACTTCATCAATTGACTTCATAGTCACGGCGTATAGAAATTAAATTTTGTCAAAGAAAAGAAGTGAGTAAGTGCGGGTAATTCCGATGTTTTGGGATTCACCATGCATTTGACTTCTGTTCAGAATCGGTAATCATATCGATGTCTGACCATTAGTACATCAGAAACATAACCAATATTTCAACCAACTTTTTCACTTCCCAGAGGAAACTGGTTCTGTAGTACGGATGAAGGAGTGCTGAATGGTCTGGGCAGATTTATATACCCCAACGATGCTACCTCAGTCACCACTTCATATGGCAAACCTGATGCTCATTACCCAAGAGTTCTCTTCTGAGTCATCTTCGGGGGTATCTACTCAGAACTTTGGTCATTAATGGTCGACCAGCTGTCAGTTGAGGACAGGCCCCACAGAGCCACACTCATCTCACATTCATGATATACTTCCACTCCCGCTAATCTCGGCTTAAACCACAGATAAGATGTGGGACAGAACTATTTCGCGGTACTGCAAGTGATGTCGTACGCCCTAACTGTTCTTATTCGCTACAGTGGGAGCTTCGTGAGGGAACAGATGGTTAGGAGCTAATGCGCACGAATACCTAGTTCCCATGCATCTCCAGTACTACAGCTTTCTCACTTCCTCTCTGGAACCAGTTGATCGTTGACACATAAGAAGCTGCAGCTTCAACTACGCAGGAGAAGACCTTCAGCTGAATACTGTGTTTAAAAAATACGACTAAGAAACGACTCACACTCCAGTGTGCAGTTTCGGATCATTTGCAGACAACGGTATATTGAAGCAAGGATCGAGATTCTCACACGTTCTATTACAAACAGCTCCGGACGCGTAGCTCTGTCTGGACAAAGCCGTAGCCGTGTGAGTGAGATCATGATCTGAAATCGGAGAAAAGTAGCACCATCATTCGGGTGTGTGGTACGAATGGGAATTTTAGCACCTAATTACTGCTGCGTTGCGACGAGGTGCGAAGTGACTTTAGATTTTAGCACCTAATTA